CTAGATTTCCTCTTTCTTTCAGAAATGGAGCTCAAAGTGATTGCATAAAATGAGCTAATGCTGTAGCTAGATACAATTTTTTATAACTGAATTCACAGGAGGGCTGAAAAAAAAAAGACCGTCTGCGTCGATTCTGTATGCTCCAAGCTTTCGAATGGTATGTCGACTGATGAAACATAAGGCTTTCCTGAGTCAAAAAAGTCTCTGTTTGATGACCTTCCAAAGCCTAAGTATTGAGAAAATCTTTATATTACACCTCTGTACCACTTATTTTCCTTCTTTTCACTCCCGCTGCCGTTGGATATGTAAGCTTCGTCAGCATTCACCTCAGGCCCAGTTACCGCCTTCACTTTTCTAGGTCAGAAATAACCAAAACCCCTTCACTTGGAGGGGACCTGCTCCCCTATCGCACCTATGGTGCATGCAGACCATAACTTTGAATGATCTTGCGGCACTTGTGATAGAAGAAATGTACATACTTTTGTGAAAACCTAATGAAGAAGGACTGGTAAACTTTAAAAAGATCGAATGTGCACTTTCGATAAACCTCGGCATGGTCGTATTATTTTCTGTGTCTTCTTGTGAGCCGTACCCGAGATTGTTGAATACTTTATTGAGCTAACCTTTCGGCAGATCGCCTTCTTCAGAGCCTGAAATAGGCAATACGATCTGCAATCCATTCGACGACGTCTCTGCAGCAGTGTGAGCAAAGTGCCAAGACTTAGGTTCGATCACTAGCTCAGCTGATAGCATTTAGCCAAACACTCACTTTTGGATTACGCCGAACAGCTTTTTGACGCGAGAGCGAGATGATCAATGACCGCTTGAGGGACCACTATTTATAGTGAAAAACTAGGTCAGAAGAGCTGACCTAGGTAAGGTGCGAGTTCACGCATGATCGGCAGGCATTTCTCTTTGCGATTCATTTTTGAATTTTTCGCGTGAATCCAAAAAGCTTCTACATTTTCTGATGTTTGTTCGTGCGCCAAGATTTTTACCGAAACTACGAAATTTGTCCCCGCATGTTCCTGTACTCGGTGAGTGCCCAGAGAAGTGGATGTGCGCGATTTATCTTTGCCGTCTATGTGCTCTTTGATGCGAACACATAGCGGGCATGTATTCCTCGCCGCACTCCTCGCAAGAGATCACATAGATGACCCCGGTAGCCATGCAATCCCCGCCTCTGCCCTGAGGGCATATAACGCAATGTGGCGTGGTGCAGGTGCGACCGTAGATACTAGTAAGCTAACTAGAACTAGTAAGCTCTTCAAACTGCTCGGAAGGAATTCTACAGTCGTAACAGAACTTTGTAGCCCTGCCCTCCTCAGACAATGTCGTATTGCAGTGCTTACATCATCGGAGATAAAGGGAAGCAGAAGGCTACTTTCCCGGCGGCGGGATATTCACTGGACAGGCGATGCTGTTCTCTTTTACTCTTAGGCGCCCTTGCATGATTTTCATACCCAATAAAAGTATGCAGCGGGCAAGCGCCAATGACTCTATCATTTCTGGTGACCACTACAGACCTGGGATGCTGTGCGAAACAAAAGACCAATGTTTGAAAATTCTGAGCAGCTTTATTTCAATTTTGATAGCTTCTTATATTTTCTAAGGTCTGCTTCCATAAGGTTAAAACTAATAGTCACTTGAAATGCATTTGTTAAGGAAAGGACCTCTGCAGAAAAGCAACGTTCGAAAGGTAAGTTATCAATTTGATCAACATATTCTAATCAGCTTCGTTCAGGCTTTACTACTGCCCATCACTCCAACAATTAATGTCTAAGGAGAAATGTCGACAGATTTGCCATGGTAAAAAAAGGACTATTTCATTCCTCGATGAAAATATACTTTCTTGAACAGAGGGGACGAGTGAAAGTGCCGCAACATCAGTGCCAACGGAAACAGCAACAAGAACGACGACAAGTAAGTTGGTTATGTGGTGGGATAGTATGCCCTTTTACTACCTTTAGGGCAGTGACTCGCGAAAATTGCAATTACGAGCTTTCCATCTCTCCTTGGCCTTATGTATGCGCTGAGGCCAGGGCTGTGCTTGAAAAGCCGAAAAAGTGCTTTTCATGACGTTTTCCGGTATTGGAAATTGCTGAAGAGGATGGGCGAGCGATCGCCAACTGAAACGCGATTGGCTGCCTGAGCCGATCAGCCAATTGCCGCCAAAATAGGTGGGGTTACAGAACCCTGCAAGTTGCAAAAATCCCTCGCCCAGCCCCCTCAGCAATCTAGGCCAAAAAACACCTTTTTGACCTTTCAAACACTATCTCGGACTGAGCGGATCCAGAAGCCATGTGGGTGCGAAAAGCTCGAACTTGCAAATTTTCCAAGCTACTACCTTCAAAGTACCTCAATTTCACAAGATTTTTGGGTGAGAGTGTCGGGACGCTTTGTCCCCTCAATAACTACTATATTTCAGAAAATAATCGGATACCAAACTACTCAGATTGCAATCGACACAGGTGGGTTCACGGTAATCCTATTCGTAATGTCTTACAAAGAGTTTTTTGAAACTGGAAACGAAATAATGAATTTTACTGACTGTTTAGAGTTAGATGAAGATGCATCTTACGTTAGGCAGGTTCCTATGTTACACATCATAACGATCAAAATTTTACTGCTAAGTACCTTCACACCATCGAATGATTTCAGAAAACTGTTGAAGCGTCTTTGTTGTAAATATCCAAAATGGTGCTTGACAGGAAAATTGCTCTGGGAATACTCAAGGGGACTGCCGAAAAATTGATGTAATCAAATTTCATATGTTCTCTATTTCTGATGTAATCAAAATAAAATTGGTTCTAATCCAGACGCATGCTATCTTCATGGCTCAGGTGTACATCAAGTGCAGACTATATGAGAAACTGCTCTATCAGAAACTCTGAACTGATTTATGAGGTGCATAACTAAGGATGTGTTCCGAGTTCTTATTACAATATTGTGGCTTCTTACGCTAAATGACAAAACTTCACAAGATTTTCTCCTAGACCGTGTAAATGAACAGCTACAAAGGTTGAACTTGACACCAAAAGCAAGATTTCTGGTATCAAATCGGATCACGGAGCCTTTGCTTGCAGTTCCACTAACTTTCAATTTACGTCATTGTCAATATCATGGAAAGAAGTATCCGAGAGTAAGATGGTTAAACAGTCCAAGAAAAGCCAATCCGGAGACATTGTTCAAATAACTATGGAATGATGTCACAGTGATTTCTCTGGAAAAGGTATTCGTATACTACGACAGCGGGCGCTGAGGTTCGACCAAGACAAGTTAGCTGAGCTTGCTTGGAAATAATGTTTTGTAGGGCTAAACGTGGTCAACATTTAGCGAATCTCTTACTCTAAGACTAAATTCCTAGTTAAGAAAATTGGAGCAAATTGAGGTGGGGCGTGCTGCAAATAATCAGCTCGATGCACATTCTTTGTTTTCATCTAATCCCAACTTTACTGAGAGCTTTTGAAGCATTTGAATTTTTTGGGTTGTCTCAAAAGTAAATTGTATTATTAAGTAAATCAAACGGTTTTTGTTATCGTAGCAGGCTTAGGATATCATTGGATAGAGCGAAGCAAGCTCTTGGTACAGCAAAGGCATAGTAGTACTCAAATATGCCTAAATGTTTTCCGCGCTTAGAAAGTGAGAAGAAAAAGATTACTCTAAAAATGGCCTCCGCCCCAGCCCCTCCCTCATACATCATTGTATACTATTATACAATCCTGACTAAGTATAACCTCAAAATTTTACCTCTGTTTGTGCTTTGGTAATCAAGAAATACCAAATTTAACATTAGAAAAACCCGAAAAAAGTGACATTTTTGCAATTTCGAGCCATTTTGATTTCTCAATCTTGAGCCCCGGAAATAATCCACCAAGTACATATTTGGTAACTACTATGCGTCTTCTGTATAAATAAACAAGTAGGAAGTCCGTAGGAATTTCCTGGAAGGAGATGCGATTTTTAGGGCAGTTGAAAAATTTTCGAATTTCGGATCCAAATTTTACCTGGATCACGGCTTAGGCGGATTTTTGGTAGTCATGTAGAACTTGCTTCGCTCTATCGAATGGTACGCTAAGTTTGCTAGGAAAAGAAAAACAGTACGATTTATTTGAGACTACGCTTTACTTTTGAGACACTAATATTTGAATCTGCTCCCAGTGCACAGCTTCAACTTGAGCAAAGCTTTCTCCTATATGATTCAGCTACAATGCCTCCCCTTCTCTCATTTTGCATGGGTTTTCTTTTCTCTTTTCAGTCTAATGGTGTATAAAAGCGCTCTAAGCAAAAAAATCTTACACCAGAAGACGGAGGCTTAGAAAGAGACTACTTTTGAGCTTACTCTAAACTATATCCGATGAGCCAAAAATTCAAGTGTAAGTTTATAGATTTTTCAGAGTTCTCTAGCAGGTATCAGCATTTCAAACGACATTTTGCATTATCTTCTAATTCCTGGTAAGTTTAAAATATGCTCCTTTTCAGTCAATTGTAGAAAGGAGACAACTCATCCCTCATGAAACTATTTATCTTCTTAGAATACCATTCATTTTAGCTTATTTGAAGGATTTTCACATCTCAATCAGAAAATAATTCTGGATTGGTGTGATTGAAATTGTATCACTATAAGCTGTGCATATAGATAAAAAAACTATTTGGCTACTAAAATCCATATTTGACCGGGGTGCCTAACTCAGACAATCGCAAAATACTTCCACAGAAAAGTGAACTTCTAAAACTTCCGGGGCGGACGCTATTGGGCCATATGAGTGGGCCCCGTCCTACCCGGCCGCGCCCTGCCTGGCAGCTCCAATGGGAATGCCCTCCGAAAGTTCTAGAACTTCAGTTTTCCCGGAACTGTTTTGCGATTGTCTGAGAAGAGACGGTTGCGAATTTAGAATTGACTAGCGCCTCTGAAAAACAAACAGTCAAAATCCCGATGTCTAACAAAAAAGCTGCTTTAAGTTTATTACTTAGCATAAGATGCATAGAGTTTATTACACAGCACGATATATGAGAGGACCTACAAGCAAACATTCAAGGCTGGAATGTGATTGCTTATTATAATTTCTGTTCAGAAGATGTACAGACATAGAAAACCTCGCTAATTCTAACCTAATATAAAGCGACTTTGGTCACGATTCTGAATCACACAGTACACATGAAGAAGAAGGGTACCCGGGTAAAGACAACCTGTGAGGGAGTACATGAACTATCTGAACTTGCACGTATAATGGGAGTAAGCAGGTTATTACGTATATTAATTAGATTAAGCAGCTGATTTAGGATCACTGTGTGAGATTCTAGACTTAATTACTACGAAGCATAGGTTTCAACGGCTCTATCAGCCATTTGGACTATGAAACGATCGAGCCAGGTGACTGAATGTGGCGCGAATGAGCTACCCTCCAAGAACCCTAGATGTCCACCATGACGGGTTAATATGAATGCGATGTCCTCAGAACGGGAAGCGAGCTCCTAAAAAACGAGAAAAATCATAAAAATCGTCCAGTAAGTTGTCTCAAGACATTCGCTTACCTTGACGGGTTCCCATAAGCATTTGGGAATGATAGGGTCATCCTCAGCGTTCAGGAAAATCATTGGCACTTTAAGCTTATGGATATGGTCCAAACACGAACATTCTTCATAGAAAGTTTCCACATTTGGGAACCCTGCCACACGTCTATTGTAGTTCTCATCCAGTGCAAAAACTGAAGTTGCGGCCCAAAGCCTCTGAAAAAATTGCATTGTATATCTGAAGAATCTGCGCCCATAAATTTGATTCTATGCTGCGTATGTTACAAAAAAACCTAAAAAAATTACGTGATAAATTTGAAAAACCTTTTACAGAATTTTAAGCTATTCATACTACATATATTACAAAAAATACGCATCGAATACTGTTACTACAAAAAGTTAGATGAATTCAAAATGGGATGGCACTAGGCGGGGCCTGCCAAATTAAGGCGTGGCAATAGTCCGCGGAAAACAACTTCCAGGTGAGATTCTTAAGATTGAAATGATGGAGAAGACCAGTAGTTTTCAAGGGCCATCAATAAAATCCAAAGACCTATCTCCAGTGATCTCACCTACAAAGGTCACAAAATTCTATTTCACTTTTACAATACAAAGCCAATATTACTGAGTATAAAATGGCCTACTAAGATTTTACGTTCGTAAATGGGCGTGGAAGGAGGCGGAGTCTGCCACAGCGGCGGGGCAATCACCAAAAACAGCGAGAAAAATCCCTTCATGGAATCATTTCAGTCACTTTAATAAAAAGAGAACGAAAATAGTTTCTGGGATCATTTTTAATGCGAGTATATTTCCTCATAACTGTCAAGCCAGCAAAATTTCGATTTTGCTCACTTCCGCTTACAACACATAGTAATGACACACCTGTTCATCGACAAGACCACTGGCCACATGTGGTGCAACCGCCTGTTCGTAATTACGACGTAGTAGACGTTTCATATTCTCCGTGATACAATAGCTATAGAATCGACGACCATTTTCCCACTGCTGATAGAGTGTGACGGATTTTGTAGCCGAATATCCTTGGCCAACGCTTAGGCCAATAAGGATGCGATTTCTGGAGGTGTAAGTTGAGTTTTTCAATTAAAAAAAAAGGTCTTGAGGAGAAATTTGAACGAGTTTTACCTCTCCTCCTCGGTTGTTTCTAGAAGAAAACGAGTAGTGATATTAGCTCCCATTGAGAAACCAACGCTGATGAATTTTGCGTTGGGATAGTCGACAAAGGCCTGCTTCATCATAGCATGTAATTCATCGGTTCCCCCTGAAAAATCGAAAATAAGAATTTTAGAAATCATGCTGCGTCCATAGTTGCCTATGCCAGCGAAAAGCAGCGTCGTGCCAGCGCCGCAACGATCAATAACGATCAATGCAAGGCGCCACGCTGGTGCTGACACGGTGCCAGCACACGCAAACGCAAAAGGCCAAAATGTGGTATTTCAAGAAAAAATGACTAACCATAAGAAAAAATGCGATTCCCTGTAAGTTTAACATTTGCCAGCGCTCCAAGATGATTGAGAACAATGCAGCGATAACTAAATTACAGTAATCAAAATTACAGTAATCAATTCCTCGCAGTAGTACGGTATCTAATGTCTTACCCTCGTTCTTGTGCATAATGCACACATGTTCGAATATAGTTACTCTCGCTACTGTTGGCGATTCCTGGCGTAAGAGCTAGGGTGAGATCAAGACCGCTCTAAAAAAAACATTCTTCTGAGGCCGAAAATTCATGCAGATCTAACGAAAAATGGGCGTGGCAGTAGGCGGAGTTGCCAGTTCTCACCTCATGCTTAGCGGTAGGTTCAAAAATATCAAAAGTGACAGTAGTCCCATCATTAAGACGCACTGCAGCTCGTCGATCAAAGGTTCTGCGAAGTGAAGCATGTCCAAGAAGACCATAAGCAGCCGTTTGTACATGGCCAGATCTGCCCCATAGACCGGGTGGGCGGTACCTAGAAATTTCATATTCAAAATGTGGGCGGCAACATCGTGCTTCTAGAAAATACAAAAAGAACATCATCTCCATAAAGTATATTCAAACTTCAAAAAATTAGAAAAACTTACGGCTCCTTAAGCATGTCGATTCCGGTGATGAGCTGCCTCATCGTGGTATTCTTTGATTTTTCAAAAAATGTTACTTGGGGCACAGCTGGAGATCCAAATATGTGAAGGAAGCGAATGATGATTATCGCCTGAATCAATTTTTGGATTTTTCATCGATAAAACAATAATTTTCCCAAAAAAATAAAGCACCAACCATGAGAATCCATAGTATAAAACCAGGGCTGGGTAGTTCGGCAGAAGAGATATATAGAAAGTCGAGAGGGTTGCTGATCGTATCCAGCCACCAGGTCCACGTCCAAGTCATCTGAAAATCGAGACTTCAAAAGAGATCAAAAAGAAAATGGATAATCTTATAATGAAAGAAGAATATGAGGTGAAAAAATGATGAGTTTAGTATGGCCGATTTACTTCAAAAATAGGAAAAATGATTAAGTAAACATGAAAAAGAGAGATTTCAACCTATGGGAAAAGGCAAGGAAAGATGAAAAGTATCAGACTTTGCGAGTGTTGAAATAAGAGATAATGGATTGTTAGTTAAGAATGTCAACTGTTAATCATAACTGTCACTCGATTCCAAAACTAGTTTGTTGCAAAAGTGAGTGAATAATAGGGAACTGTTTGACTATGATACCAACGGATATTTTTTCATGGTACACCATAAAGTAAATTAGCTCCGATAATCGAAAAAATAGGTATTTTTTGGTGAAAAAATTCTACATTATCCTGTTCAGTCAAAACAGCTAATTTGGTCATCGATCATTATGAACTTCGGAACCGAACTCGAGCGGTTCGCAAAGCGTCTGCTGATAAGATGTTTGTCCAGGCCCAGAGAAGATAACTAGAGGTGATGGTCCGTAAAGAATCGGTGAAGAGGGTAAGTGGTTAAATCAAATTCATATATTCATTCAATTATTTGAATACCTAGGGTGCATAGGGTTACTTATTTGAATAGGGTGCATCAAAATGCAATTGAAAAAAAAGAAGAAAATCTTGATGCGGATATTTCTAAAGAAAAGCTATTCTACAAGCTGACAATTTGATAAAGCGAAAACAAAATTACTGACTCAGTCGGTTTTGAGAGCAGAAGAGAATCTTTTGGAAATAATGGAAGGCACTTACATTCGTTAAAAAAGGATGACTAGTCATCTTCACGGGAAACTGGTGAATGAATGACTACGCTATGGCCGCTGAATTGATCTTCTAGCAAAAGACAACGAGAAACAAAGTAAGCGATCATGCACCATGTTCGACAACATATTTTGTTGACAGCTTTCGTATGATTCATCTCTCGCTATGATTGATTGTAGGTTAGCTAGAGAGACCGCAACTCAAAGACTATAAGAACCTTGGATGATAAATACGCAAATTTGAACTTGAAAAAGGAAAATGGAAGTTTGAAGGTACTTTGATATTTACTTGTTTTTTCAGAGAAGAATGTAAAAGATATTACGGAGGAAAACTCTAAAAAGTACTGTTGCAATTTCAGAAACTTGTGGAACAGTCTTCCTCGATTGTGTTATGCTAGAACAATTATTTCTCACAAGGGAACGATCCCAACTTAAGGTGGCGAATTGGAATGAACCGCATACCATTAGATGCGTCTTGATGAGCTGATTCCAAATCTACCTTCCATATCTGCGACAACGTTATTTGCAAAAAGTTATGAGCGGTTGAAAATGTGAAGTTATTGGGGTTTCAATGCATAATGTGCTTCAAAATCCAACTTGAAAGTGCACTACTAGCATGATATTGAGTGTACTGATTTCACGGAATGCTCACATTCAAAAGAAAGACAAATAAGTGTTTTTGAACAGCTAAAAAGCAACTAAAGCTCTCTGGTAAAAGTTATGAGCAATGAAATATCCAAATTTGGCGAATATACAGCGCCATTTCTCGAAAATTAGTTGTTCAAAAACACTTATTTGTGTTTTTTTGAGATGTGAGCATTCCGTGAAATCAGTACACTCAATATCATGCTAGTCGTGCACTTTCAAGCTGGATTTTGAAGCACATTATGCATTGAAAACCCGATAACTTCACATTTTCAACCGCTCATAACTTTTTGCAAATAACGTTGTCGCAGATAGGGAAGGTAGATTTGGAATCAGCTCATCAAGACGCTTCTAATGGTATGCGGTTCATTCCAATTCGCCACCTTAAGTTGGGATCGTTCCCTCGTCAGAGTCTCAGATGTAACAAGTTGTTAGCTTAATGCATAAAGGGCCGGGCATACTTCACGCGATTTCAGTCGTGACGCAATTTGGCGCTTAGCCAGAATTCTTCAAATTCAACACTAGCAAACTGCACATGCATGGTTTGTATAACTTACGTGATAATAAATTCCCTATCTTCTGTACGTCTAGAATATGCTTACAGTGCGCTATGGACAGTTGGAATTCGCGTCGCGACTGAAATCGCGTGAAGTATGCCCGTTCCGCTGTCTAGCTCCCAAAACCACAGAAAATTGGCTTTTTTGAACAAGTTTCAAAATCAATTTCCCTTTTTAAAACATAAAAGAGGTAATTGTTATAAGAGACGTATTCGAATTAAGAACAAAATTATATGAAAGAATTCAGAAATCAAAACTATTCGTGCAGTTTGAACCGCACGAACTTTTATTGAATAGAAAAAAGAGGTAAAAAAACTTATCCCAAAACTAAGATAAGATTTTAGCGGACTTTTTGCAATTCTAGCGACCGAAATTCAAGAAAACACTTTTTGATGTTCGTCTTTATCAATTTGTACCGTTCCGATATGCCAACAAAAAATTTGTAAGCACAATCAGTGAGGGCAAGAACTTTCCTCTCTGTTATGTAGTAAATCAAACAATTTTGTGGAGATGGAGGGTTTTAAAAACGAAGTTTCTATTCTGGTGCAAGATTTCAATAACAACCCAATAGTTATTGTAGATTCTTCAAGTATGTCATACTCGAATTAGTATGACATACTTGAAGAATTACTGCTCGCTTTACGATTCTTCCACACCTTTTTTTTCAAAATAAATAGCTCTAATTCGATTTTGTTCAAATAACTTATCTTTTAAATGACGTGAATAATATGTCTAAATTTAACATCACGTGAATTTCACAAGAAAAGCACTTCTGAGAGACTATAACTATTTATGTTTGCAAGAGAATGATGAGGCAAAAATGTTGAAGAGAGTGCACGGCTGCGCTTTCGCTCCGTCTGCATAGCTCGTTAGACCAAGGGTCTAACGAGCTATGCAGACGCCTCGTGCTGCGCACGTGAATGTCAAAGACGGGGGAGAAAGGGGGGGGGGGGGGGGAAGAAGAGGGGGGAGGTGGAGAATGCATTGAGATGCAATGAGACAATGAGGAAAAATTGTGGAAAGAGCGAGACGACTAAGGAAATTCTCAGAAATTGTAGAAAAAATATTTATGTGAAAACAACTGAAAAGAAAAACGTGATAATTTGAGAACTTCAACAATAAATCATCCATGTTATTATTGAAGTGATCAATTTCATTTTTATGACTAAAATTATATGTTAAATCCCGATAAGCTTGCAATGAAAATTATAATAGTTAAACAATATTCGAATCGATCAAATATCAACTCAATTCAACCACAAAAACTGGGCATCAAAAATTATTTTATATTCAGTTTATTTTTCATGCTTATCTAAAGAGAAAATTTTCACTTTCGTAACACTTGAAGCTTCATTTCTAGTTTCTAAAAAATATAAATGTAAAACTACTGAAAATACATAAATTTGTAAATTTTATTCAGACATGTTAATTTGAGTGACATCATTCTACTATTGGAATATCTAGATTTTGTATTTGAAGCTTGATAAAAAATGAGATTCATAATAAATAAAAAAGTAAGATGACAATATTTAAAATGAAGCATTTTTGAAATTAGTATGATATTTTATGCGTATAAGAAAATATTACCGAATCTAAGCAAAAAATGATATTCTATTAAAACTTGCCCATAGACAGAATTGAGAGCATGTTGGCGTAGAATCAGTGAAATTACAGCAATCCGCCTTCCAACAGGGATAAGCGGCAAGCTCCGCCTCAGATAAATTTGTACAGAATTCCATATTTGAAGATCGCATGATAATAGCCGATAGCCGCGGGAAACTCGGCTTTTTGCCGATTTTTTATAGCTCAGAAACTAGCGCCGCTACTACGCGAACTGGGCAGCAGTGCAGTGGAAATATCGAAGGGTCTCATGAAAAGCGTCTACCCCCGACGAGTTCGAAGTCCACCTCGGGGGGGGGGGGGGGGACTGCTTCAATATCGCTCTGCTGCTGTTGTCGTGGTGATAGTGCCAGACACTGGCCGATGGACTGAGAGATCGCGCTCCGACAGTATGCTTTGAAAAGGCGCAGGAAGAATAGTGCAGCGGTTGTTGACGGAAATTTGTGCACTTTTGCGTGAAAATACAAGACTCGATGATCAGAGGCAAACAAGTAGGAAGGTCAGCGCGAGGCTGGGTAGACTTTGCGGGGAATAAAGAGAAGAAATTTGGACTTCGGCGAAAAGTCGTCAAGTCAGCAAAATAAACATTCGAAAGTTCTATCCTAAGGACATAAAAGTAAGAAAAGGGGCAGTTTAAGAATCCTGACGGAGCATAAAATCATCAAGTAAAAAGACGAAAAATGGAGACAGCTGTCCAAATTTTTGTGTTGTAAAAAATGCGAGATTATAGGAATAAAAAACACAGTCTAAAGGAAGAAGAAACGAAATTTTCGAAAAAATCAAAATTCTTGATCGTATATTCTCGAATCATAAGAAAATCACATCTCTTGCAATTTTTGATAAGCGAAGTTGAAAAGTATTTTTATATTCATGAGATTATTTATTTTATTTAATGACATCGTTTTATTTTAATTTTAGCATTGGAATGAGTTTTCAATGTCTAAAATAGAAAAAAAATCGAAATTTCCTTCCTGGTAAACGAACGCAAAAAAAATGCACTTACAATTAAAAAAGCTAGGTTTCAATGTTGGTGGGATTATTGTTAGATAGCTGGGATACAAAAAATCCATATTTCCTTTTGAGAAAAAAAGAGAAGTAAGTAATCGCAAAAATAAAACGGAATAAATAGTATGCAGTTGCCCAATGAATGTTTTTTTTGATTTCTTCAAGTCTAGGCTCTCAAATTTACAAGTATAATTTGAGTTTAATTCAATCAACGAGAACCTGGTAAATAGATGAATACAGGTTGTCATGACTAGGCTGGTTCTAGTTCAGTAGGCTAATTAGGTAAAATCGCAATCGCACAGAAAAAAACTGTGCAGAGGCGGGAATTTCAAAAAATAGCGCAACGGAGATGCGACTATCAGAGAAAAATGCAATATATACAGCGAGATATTACGTTCTCAGATTACTACAAGCCATTGTCGTTGTTTATCGGTATTTACTGAACAATATGGGTAAGCCCGTAAACAACAACAACGTAAACACTAAGCATGGGAAGGGTTCAAACACCAACGGAATGACGCATGCATCGTTGGTCGACTGCGCGACCGGGCGCCCCCCCCCCCGTTGTGCACGCGAGTGCAGGGCTAGGGCAATCAATATGCAGTTATTTTTCCGAGATTTTCTCAGATTATGTGTAAGTCGAGCTTGGGTAACTGACGAAAGCGATGAAAGCGAAGATTTTATTGTATTTTTTTGTTTTTGCCTTGAATTACGATAATTCAGTAAAAAGAAAGCACAGTCCAAACAACAGATTTTTTGGCAGTCGACAGTTCAGTCTGTGACCTGATGTGCTTATTGCACACGAAGCGCGCTACTTCACGACTTGCGAACTAGAAGCTTCAGTTTCCAGAAATTTCTCATTATTTTCTTCTCTTTTTTAGCTTGATTCGATAATTATCAGGTAATCCTACCCTTTCCAACAGTTTTTCCCACTAGACGTGGTTTTACTGACAAATTGCTGGTAAACAGTCGTGCACTACCACAGAGCAAAGTCCATTTAACCAGTCAAAAAAGACGATTTGAATAAATTTCATTTGACTGAGTGATCTTCAAAACCAATATTTTTAGACATTAGGAGGAGTTCGCATATCTAGGAGAGGACGCAGGATATGTATATTACAATTAGAGAGGGATTGTAATGAAATCAGTCTGGAAATTTGGACTAATTGTGATCGCGATGAACTCTTCAAGAACAAGAATGTTCCAGAGAACTTCCGCAATCTAGAGATGTTTTTAAGACAGCCATAAAACTGTCCTCTGTCATTGACGTTGATTTTATCGTTTTCTAATAATTTTCGTTTTGTTTTTTTAGCCAGTATATGTCATATCGCTGTTCTTCTAGCAGTTCCCTACGTGACTAATACGAATAAATGAAAATATGCAAAGAGTAGAAGTTGACAAGGAAAAAAAGCGAGGTCTTTAAGTTGTACATACGAGTGAGGCGAGAAACACAATGCGATGTTTAGCTGCTTTCTCGAAGCTTCGCTGACATTTGCACTTTTTCTTCTATTCTTGCAGCGGCCACGCATGCAAAGCTTGGAATGACAAGCAGTTTCGAAATGCCTGCACAATTCGCTTCGAGGAAATTCTAGCAATTAACATGCAAAGGAGCTCTTGGAATATTGAACGTCATAAATGAAGAAAAACCTGAAGGCTTATTGTCACGAAAAATGGGGAAATTGAGGACTAGAAACAAAAGGGTTTGCGTGATAGGAGTTAGCAATATCTAACATGTACATAGGCCAAATTATGGGGAATAAGGCCAATTTTTTGCATTTATAATTTTAAAATTGCCTACAAAATTCAGTCACTGGAAAAGTTATGTGGATTTGTAAAGCTGATTAGTCTGTAGATTCGCGAAATTGCGCACGGAATAAAAAAAAATTCTGCAAGAGTTTGGTCATAAGATGGAAATCTGAATATAATAAAAACAGAATGATCTTGAGTGACAGATCCATCTTTCAAAAAAGCAAAAAAATTATTTGTCATTTGGGAAGTTTGCTAAGATGTCGAATCGTTTCTTGAATATTGTAGAAATTTCAATTAATTAGCTCGAGTAAAGGTTTTTTTTCAATACTTGCACTATATACCGAAGTACCGTATGACACATTTACTTATTGCAAAACATTTTTTTGCTTGAAACAAAAATAAATCTGCAATCATTCTGTTGCGAAGCCGGTCTGTTGTAATGTACGCAAAAACACACGACAAGATGTTCTGAGTTATGACTAACGAAAGACACATGCTGAAAAACTTCTCGAAATTTCGTAATTTATACCGAGAAGTATACGTCATTGTTTTTCGAAATTGCAAACCCAACCTGCTTTGTGGTTTCGAAAGAAACTGCAAAACTTCGAAAGAACAGGCAGAGTTTTTTACTCTAAATAAAAAAAAATGAAATGGCGTTGAGGGGTCTTGTGAGTGTTGTGAAAGGAGGATGCGGAAGTTTTTTCGTTACAGGTAAAATACCAGTTTTTGAAGGGGGTATTCAGTCACATGTGGCCTATCAGACTCGAACACATATGTTGAGATGGAATTGAGCAACATCATTTTGTTTTTTCTTGAAGAAAAATTAGTCTCCTATGTGTTATGTTAAAATCAATAATTTGAAGTCCAATTCAATACCAAGTTATCCGTGAAATGAAAGTAGGGTAAGTCGAAACTTGAGAAGAACTTGACTATCATTTACGGTTGATATTCAAGCTTTTGTCTGTACTATTTTCTGCCAAGTTCAAATTTTTGAGTAGAGCGCAAAAGATGTGAAAATAATAAAAGTCTATAAGGTAGAATGAAAAGAAATCAATGAATTAACAGATTGCTCAGAGTGAATTTCCTAGAGTTTCGCTGATGAATGGTATATGTCACTCGTGCAACTTTTATTGCCTTGTCAATTCCTAGTTGAAGAGGACAAAGGAAAATAACAGGATAGAGCTGTGAAGTGCACTCAAATTTTCATTCAATATCCTAAAGCTAAGCTTCTCTTTGCCGAACATTTTCGACTCAACGCAAAAAAAAACAATCTGGACCCAAGTTTTTTACCATGCATTTTGATAAGCGCTCAATTCTGAAAGATTCAAAGGAGCTCAATAAATCTTCTCGAATCAGACATATCAACGACATATTATGTCAGTTTGACCTATAGGTTTTTCTGGTTTTTCTGAACCATCACAAAATCTCGTAGATCATAGTCCAGTAGAGAAGCATTTTGAGATGTAAACCCAGCTTTTTGAAGAACTTTTCCGAGGGCTATGTTTACGGCCGAATTCTTTCGCCTGCCTTCAAGTTATTCAAGGTTGTCATCCAGATTTCTACCATACTAGAGCTCCGCTAATCTACACAATTTTTATTTTGGTCTTTTAGGGAAGTAGAGGGCTACACAAATAACAACAAATAGAGGGCTAGACGGCTAAACAAATATGTACTCCCTCAGATTTCTGTTCTAGACTTCGAAATTCTACATAGTCATCTTTGAAAGTCGATTTTTGGTCAAAGCACAAAAGCATAACTATGAATACTGAGATACGAAAACTCCTGATATTTTAGGAGTTCGAAGCTTGATTGATAGCAAGCAACAAGTGAATCAGAGGTTAATTTGCTCAAAATTTAAAACTTCAAGACTCTCCGTACGCTTACGCGCTTCGCGTACTAATTACTCAATTCACCTCCATAGATATCTGCAGCTTGTTTAGTTTGGCCCGGTTGACTTCTGATCAATCTCTTGTTATCTTTTTCCCTCGCCATTGCTTTTTGAGAAATTTTACCAGTGCCCCTTCCTACCCACATTTTTAGAAGGTTACTTTTGCTCTTTAAAAGCGCAATGAAACAATCAAGTAGACTAGAGCTTTTGCTACATTTTGGTTAAGTTAGTTTAATTTCTCAGATCGACTTCCAAAGACTTTCGTACCATCATTGGGTGCAGCGTAGAATGCTGGTTTCATCTGTCTATCTGCTGTTTTCCGTATCTGCTGAACGCTTTTGTATATGAACGGTTTATGAGCAGTTTTGTTGCGAAAAATTGCCATACAAAGTGCGAAATTAAGCACATTATTGCCAGTTCAATTCACCTTTTAGGTATGGGCGATATAACATAACATCTTTGCAAGTTTGTCAATCATTTACTCCAACAGGACTCTGTTTGCAGTTTACATGCACAACTTCTTTGCAATAAGATGGCTTATAACTCGTTCACAAAGGCGTTCACCAGACAAGCGATACACTTTCAGAGTCAACGTTCTAAAGCTTCCTTGACTCTCGAAAGCGAAAGACATGGAAACAGTAAATTCATCTCTTCTCTAAAATTTCTAGGGCTCACATACGAGGTACGGATGGTTGAAATTGTGACTTGAGCTCTTTTTCAATACGTCCAATACGTCGTTGAACAATTCATATAAAATTAAGCACATACCCCTTGCAAGTTCCCTTCAGCCATTCCAACAGCGACCGCCTCCATCACGAACCAGCACCTCAATGGAAAGCACTCGACAAGTTCACCCGATATCATCTACCCAATTCCTTGAAGGAAGGTAAATAAGGAAGCGACAAAATTGTAATTCACGGAAACTGATCAAACGCGTCACTTGAATGCTGTGTCAATACTTGTATGTCAAATTCTGACACGGTGATACTTGTATAATGTATGTAAGATGATTTTATCTCATTATTATGCGCGTTAGCGCTGCTCCTGTAGCATGTCGTGGCAGGACCATGTCTGTACTCTACTCGATCTCTGACAAGGAAAGGATACTTGGTCGAAGCGACGTTTCCATATGAGATGTATGCTAGTATCTTATAGGACATGGAACGCTGATTTCATATCTGCTTCCGATATCTGCAAAGCGCTTCTAGGAGGAGAGCTATGGAAATTTCGATGCAAAAATTTGAAAGCGCCGCTACAAGTCATCCAGAACTTTAGTCCGTGAGTTCAGATAGTGGTCATGATCACTACCAGGGCGTTTTATACGATTAGCTTCAGTCTAATAAACTCATGTCAGCCTAAACTACCTTCAAGCGCAAGAAAAGATCTTAACACATGCTTTTATAGCCAAATCATTGAACTTTTACCTCAGAAGAAAAATCTCAGAACTCCCCTTCAAAAGAGCTTTGCAGATAATGAATGTAGACATGGAATCAGCTTTTCGTGCTCTATAAGATAGCGTACATTTCATATGGAAACGCCACTTCGACCAAGTATCCTTCCTTTGTGAGATTCTCACAAGAGAGATGCCAGCCACATTTCTCGCGCAGGTTCACCTATATCACAAGGGCATCTTGATTATCGCACACCATAAATGCTGCCGAGGGAAGAGGCGTGACCTGTGGCCCATTTTGACAACCTTACAGCCATTATTAGTTCGATTTTTCGGATGCACACAGCGGCAAAATTTGCGGATCGTGTTGGCTGCACAAATGTACGCAATACGATTTACATTGCTGCGAGCGGTACAACCTGAATTTATAGGCTGCTGCATGACGAATGCGCAATATCTTTGAAAAAGCGGCTTCATTAGCGCATGAAGCGCAGGAATTACAACGGTGAGGATACGCGCCCGCCGCGTTCGCGCCCTTTCAACTAATACTGCTCTTCTGCGCCTTCGTCGTGCAGTAGCGTGAAAAATGTGACTAACAGTTTTCAGTTTGGAAGCCCTGTCGTTTTGGACTTCGTGGACAGCTGGGTCCAAGATTAGGCCACTCTTTATCAAACCTCAAAAAATTGCTTTGTATCGCCTTCTTAACCAAGAAATTGGCCCTGTTTCAAAGAAACTACCTAGAGAATGACGCCAAGCGTTCGTTTCTTAGTTGGGCTGAAGTTATGAATCCTTGATTTTCCCTGGATTGCAAACGATTTTGCAACTGTCTTGTCAGAAAACGCGCTCTACGGCGACTCGCCGCAACACTGCCGCAACTCGCTCGGCTCGGGCTCGGCGATCGTTGCCGTCTGCTCTCGTACTCGAAAACATCGAGCAATTGCTGCACTGGTGAAGAACTGCATGATCTTGGTGTTCTCACTTCTGAATTTGTGATTATAGCAAAAGCAATCGATTCAGGAACACTCTGGTGAGTTTTTGTGGTTTTTTGTCTGTGTTTTGCAGTGTTTGATTCATTGTTATGACGTTAACCTTCTTAGTGTCTTTGTTCCTGAATTTAGACGCTCATGTATTTTATAGTTCTAAACTTTTTGATTTCGCTATATTACTTGTACTTTCCAAGCTGATTATGCTATGTTTTTGCACCGTTGTTTCGATCGATGATCTTCATGTTCACCGCACATTTCTGCAGCAGAGGTGCGATAGTCGGAGCCGATTCTCCGCCTACCTTCACTTTTGAGCTGGTACAGGGTGACCACCTTCACTTTTGGGTTTTAAAATTTTTTTTTGCAAAGCTAAAAAGAAGGAAAATAAGCAAAAGGAATGTGAAAGAAAGTATTAAGAGCATATATCTATGTAGTAGGTCGATCCAGGCAGTAACCTCCGAGAACCAGAATTTCGAATGATAAAATAATGAAAAATCGTGAAAAATCATTCCACTGTTACAAATCTGCTGGCTAAAGACCTCCGCAGTTGCGACTTCATAAGTTTTGAAGGTGTTGTTCTACCAGACAGTGAAAGAATCAGTTTGATTTGAAGAGTGGCCGCCGAGAACGAGAATTCTGAAAAACCTTGAAAATCTTCTCAATTTTAGGTTGCTTAATGACAACTGACATTTAAACTCTTATAAATCCGGACATTGAAGATGTGTAATGTTGCGACTTCATAGGTTTTGTAGGGTGAGGTTTGCCCTATCAGAATATGTCTTAGCTGTACCGATCCATTGAAACACCGCCGAGATCCAGGCTCTTAAAAAAGCAGGTAAAAACTGTTTTTCAGCTCATAACTTCTTCAGAATTGCATAATTCATGTTGCGACTTCATAGGTTGGATTCGCCTCATCAAGAGCTTTCAAATGATATGTAACATGTGGGGGATTCACGCCTCCCACCGCATATGCCCAGGGGTGGAGTACCTCTCTTCACTAATTCTCCACTGGCGGCCTCTCGCCAATACATTGAAATGGGCGGGGTGGAGAATTAGTGAAGAGGAGTACTCCACCCCGGGTTAGAGCCGCAAGAAACATTGAATCCCCCATGTATTATATATCATTTGAAAGCTCTTGATGAGGCGAATCCAACCTATGAAGTCGCAACATGAATTATGCAATTCTGAAGAAGTTATAAGCTGAAAAACGGTTTTTCACCTGCTTTTTTAAGAGCCTGGATCTCGGCGATGTTTTAATGGATCGGTACAGCTAAGACATATTCTGACAGGGCAAACCTTACCCTACAAAGCCTATGAAGTCGCAACATCACACACCTTCGAAGTCCGGATTTATAAGAGTTTAAATGTCAGTTGTCATTAAGCAACCTAAAATTGAGAAGATTTTTAAGGTTATTCAAAATTCTCGTTCTCGGCGGCCATCCTCAAATCAAACTGATTCTTTCACTGTCTGGCAGAACAACAATTACCCTTCAAAACCTATGAAGTCGCAACTGCGGAGGTCTTTAGCCAGCAGATTTGTAACAGTGGAATGATTTTTCACGATTTTTCATTATTTTATCATTCGAAATTCTGGCTCTCGGTGGTTACTGCCTGGACCAACCTAATTTATTCGCAGTACGTTATAACAAAATTTACTCAATAAGATACGTAAAGTCTAGCTGGGTTTTACTTGAAAATAGACCTTTTCACTAACTCGTTTATTTTTTTCATTTTTATGCCGCTGTACTCATCGTATTTGTGGCCCTAAAGAGGGCCGTTAGGTGAGAGTTCTTCAGTTATCCGAAGTCCCTTCTCCCCCTCCCCCTCCCCACCCCCCCCCCCCCCGGTCGACGTTTTTGGGAGCTGAGTGTGCGGCACTACCACCTTCACTTTTGGCCGGCCAGTGGTAACTGAAACCACCTTCACTTTTGGGGGGCCGGACTCCACCTATCGCACCTCTGTTCTGCAGCTATAGTAGTCACCTCTATTGCGAAACTTTCCATGATATTTACCGGAAAAGGAAGGTAACAATACAGATTTTGTTCGTGCTTTCTCGTTTGTTTTAGAGAATCACAGTTTTAGCTTTCTTTTATTAAATCGTGCAAGACATTTTGAATGTACTTGCAACGATTGCACTTCAATCATAAAAGGCAGCTGAGCATGCAGATAACCATAACTCTAATATTTTCATTGAATCTCTTCCTTATCTGATCAAAAGTCTCACTCAAGATTCATACAGTCTGCCCAATCAACCAAAATTGGCGTCGGGAGTTTCGTTCGGGGAGGGTTTTGCGTCACGTTTATGGTTTTTCCTGCTCTTTCTTCAACCTCTTCGCTCTTTTCGATAGTGCGCATGCGCAGCGCAAACCCCTAGCGCTACGTGCGCGGCAACGGTTCGACATGATCTTGGTCGGGACACACTGTAGTCGGATCATCATCATCATTTGTGTTATCTGTGAATTCACGCAAATGACAGATTTGGCAGTCATTACTTTAGATCTGATACCTGACTTTCATAATCCTTCCTGTCACTAGTATAATATTGTCTGATGCTCATGGACGGGAATCTTTTGCAGTTCCATATTGGGGTTGTAGCAGTCCGTAATGGCTTTCACTCCTTGCATACATTACAAGCAATAATTATCAGTCTCCCGATCTTCATTATGCACTGTCTTTCCAATTCCCAAGCTATCAATCAGCTCCCAACCAGGCGACAAGCGCTCGTTTATAATGGCAAAAGCTCCCGACAGAGATCGGGAAATTGTCAAATGTTGCCCAGGAATCAATCGTAAAGTTCTTCAGTATCTAGTTCCTCCAACATCTACTATTGCAGAGTATCTCTGAGCCATCCACAAATACTCATCTGTTCCAGAAACCTCGCTATGGCCGCTGCAGTTTCTCAATCGCCTAGTGAGTCTGATGACTCACTGTACCCGATTGCCGTTCTCATCGATGAACTTCGCAATGAGGATGTGCATCTGAGACTGAATAGCATCCGCAAGTTGTCCACCATTGCTCTTGCTCTCGGAGTGGAACGCACTAGAAATGAATTGATTCAGTTCCTAACAGGTACGCTGACCTGCATACTACCCATACTTTACAAAGGAGTTTTCGTATTATTCAATTCACTTGATGTTGTTGTTATTGTTTATTATTTTTTGCTCCGAGTAGTTTTTGCATATATCCATCTAAATCATTACTTATGAAGCTCGCAAGATTCTGGAAAATATCATGTGTAATTTAAGAGCCTTTTGTTAAAATTTTCTTTCTATTCTTCTACCTGTTTCCAGTGCTCAGCTTCGATTTAATGAAAGTATGATCCACTTCTAGATTCGTGTGGAAGAGGGTTGCGGACTTCCCTGATTATAAGGTTAAAGTTATTGAGAGAAACGAAGAACAGTGCTGTAACGTGGAGGTTTTACAAATTTATCGTTATATTCAGGGAACGCAACCAGCCTCCACACCTGCCATCAATTTAGATATTTGTTCATTTTTTTTACAAACTTCGTTGGTGGTAACTCGCTTTTCGTAAACGCAACGAACTCCGCATTTTTCTTTAGATGTCGGTTTCCGAGCAACAAAATTGTTATTTGGGTTTTCAGACACGATTTATGATGAGGACGAAGTGCTGCTCATTCTTGCTGAACAGCTTGGAAACTTCACTCCTTTGGTAAGTGTATGCGTTTTGGTGTGGTATCATTCTAGTGCTGAAATCAACGATATAGGTTGGCGGTCCGGAGTACGTCCACTGTCTGCTTCCTCCACTTGAGAACTTGGCCACTGTCGAAGAAACCGTTGTCAGGGACAAAGCCGTCGAAAGCCTTCGCAAACTTGCTGACAAACTCAGCACACCGGCACTGGAAGAGTATTTCATACCAATGTTAAAGCGTCTAGCCACAGGTTTGTAATGTCGCTTATACAGAGCTTTAGAATTCGACTTTTCAATATCTTGTTTAGGGGATTGGTTCACTTCACGCACATCCGCATGCGGATTGTTCAGCGTCGCTTATCCTCGAGTCAGTCCTGCCATCAAGGCAGAGCTAAGAGGGTAATAATTTTTTTTGCTGCGAAGAAATATAAGAGATGCAAATTTAAGCGCTATTGATCGTCTGATTTCGTCTGCATGCTCCTGCAGCATTCTGTATCAACTTTTTTCCATTACTAAAAATGCTTTTGTGCGAGTACGCAAATGCTCAATCCAAATAATGTTTTGCTGATTATTTTGCTTTTAAAACTTTGTATCTCAGCCTATTCCGACAACTCTGTCGCGATGACACTCCAATGGTTCGTCGTGCCGCTGCAGCTAAATTGGGTGATTTTGCAAAGGTTTGTTTCACATCTTATGTGAAATCAGTAATTTACATATAATCTTCTGCCTCCCTAGGTTTTCGAACGAGACTATCTGGTGGAAGAACTTCATTCAATGTTTTGCGACCTGGCTGTGGATGAGCAGGTTAGTCAGATTAGTCACCAGTTTGTCAAATTGCCCCATATGTTTTGTCAACTACTGTGTAGGACTCTGTGCGACTACTGGCTGTAGAAGGTTGCATCGCAATGGCGGGATTACTCTCTGAAGATAGTCGACGTGATCTTGTTCGTCCTGTACTGAGTGGTCTGATTGACGATAAGAGCTGGCGTGTACGTTTCATGGTAGCTGAGAAACTCACAGAGGTAATTCTGAGGTTTATTTGGATTGCAGTATGGTCTCAGCATAATTATATTGTACTAGCTGGCTTACCCGGCTCCGCCGTATCCGGACCAAACTTGGCACACATACACTTCGGGCCCCGGCGGGTGTCACAGTCCACCTTTCGTTATCGATCGATGTCGATTTTACCGATTTTTATCGATTTTTTTGCAGAGTTCACCTACAGGGCTAGGAGTTGGCACAGAGGGGTAATCGAGCATGCTGATTACGAACACAATATTAGTTTTCAGGATCGTCCATTACTTTTATCGATTTTATCGATTTTTTTTGTAAAGTTTGACCTGCGAGGCTGGGATTTCGCACAGGGGGGTAATCGAGCATGCTGATTACGAACACAATATTAGTTTTCAGGATCGTCCATTACTTTTATCGATTTTATCAATTTTTTTGTAAAGTTTGACCTGCGGGACTGGGAGTTTGCACAGGGGTAATCGAGCATGCAGATTACGAATACAATATTAGTTTTCAAGATCGTCCATTACTTTTATCGATTTTATCGATTTTTTGAAAATTTGAGCTAGGGGGCTGGAATTTGGCACAGGGGTGTAATCGAGCATGCTGATCACCCCCCTTGGGGATGATCAGCATGCTCGATTACCCCCCTGTGCCAACTCCCAGCCCCCTAGCTCAAACTTTGCAAAAAAATCGATAAAATCGATAAAAGTAATCGATAATCCCGAAAACCAATATTGTATTCGGAATCCCCATGCTCGATTACCCCTCTGTGCGAACTCCCAGCCCCGTAGCTCAAACTTTGCAAAAAAATCGATAAAATCGATAAAAGTAATCGATAATCCTGAAAACCAATATTGTATTCGGAATCCCCATGCTCGATTACCCCCCTGTGCCAACTCCCAGCCCCGTAGCTCAAACTTTGCAAAAAAATCGATAAAATCGATAAAAGTAATCGATAATCCTGAAAACCAATATTGTATTCGGAATCCCCATGCTCGATTACCCCCCTGTGCCAACTCCCAGCCCCGTAGGTGAACTCAGCAAAAAAATCGATAAAAATCGATAAAATCGATATCGATCGATGACGAAAAGTAGCCTATGACACCCGCGCGGGCCCGTAGTGTATGTGTGCCAAGTTTGGTCCGGATCGGTTCAGAAATGGAATTTTCTATTCGGAACATACGTACACACATACATACAGACAGACATACATACATACATACAAACAGACATTCAGCTTTATATATAAGATTTGTCAGATCCAAGACGCCGTTGGCGAGGATATGACTATGACTGAACTCGTGCCAGCGTTCACAAATCTACTTAAAGATCCGGAGGGCGAAGTTCGCGGCGCAGCTGCGCAGAAACTGAACAGTATGTTTTTCTATCTTGCCTTCAATTTTGCTTCGACTTTTTTTCATGTTCCTCAGTCATTGTGCATTTTATACTTGATAGTCAAATTTGTTTGTAAAACATCATTTCGTCTGTTGCATTACAGCTTTCTGTGCCAAGCTGAAGAAGAGTGCTAGAGAAGGTGCCATTTTGAACAACATCCTCCCTGTAGTGAAGGATTTGGTCATCGATCCAAATCAGGTAAGTTCATGATTGTCATGCTTTAGTATCATGTGTAATGTTTTTCAGCATGTGAAAACTGAACTTGCCGGTGTAATTATGGGACTGGCTCCTCTTGTAGGAAAAGAAAATACGATCTCGCAACTTCTTCCAATTTATATGCAGTTGTTGAAGGATAGCACAGCAGAAGTTCGCCTCAACATCATCAGCAGCCTCGATAAGGTATGCACTTCCGAAATGCCTTCTTTATATTTTTGAGTGTATCTGTAGGTATGTGACGATCTCTAAGTGTATTGCAGGTGAATGATGTGATTGGAGCTTCACAGCTTTCGCAGTCACTTCTGCCAGCTATTGTTGAACTAGCGGAAGATGGAAAATGGCGCGTCAGACTCGCTATCGTCCAGTTCATGCCTTTGCTTGCTGCACAACTGGTATGTTTCGTTTTCCATTTCATAAGCATAACTTTCTTATTTTGGTACTATTTTCCTTTTTTTCCTTCTTTCAAAGTCTTTCTCTCTGATCATGCCGCTGTTTTGTTCATTTCTCTTTGTTTTTGATGTGAATTTCTGCAGGGTCAAGAATTCTTCGACGAAAAGATGCTTCCATTGTGCCTGAACTGGCTTTGCGACCATGGTAAGTTGTTGTAGAGATTGCATTTTAGCTATGCTTTGATTCTGTTTCTAGTATATGCTATTCGCGAAGCAACCACCTCGATTCTCACTGAACTCACCAAAAAGTTTGGCGGCGATTGGGCCTCGAAAAACATAATGCCAAAGCTGGTCACCATGTCAAAAGTAAGTTTTTTTTTCAGTCTTACCACAGGTGTTGCTAACGGATTCTGTTGAAATCAAGGATCTCAACTACCTTCATCGAATGACTTGTCTGTTTTGTCTAAACTCACTTGCGGAGGCTGTTGGCCCCCAGCAAACTGCTAAAGAAATAATGCCGATTATCAAGGAGGTTTGTATTGTTTGCTTATACGTTTGAGCTTATCTGAATTCAAAGTACTAAATTTTCAGCTCAGCGAAGATAATGTTCCTAACGTGCGCTTCGGGGTAGCTAAGGGTCTGCAGAAAATTGGAAAAGTAGTAGATGCGAGGTCTGCAACCTTTCCTTTGTGATTAATGTTTGTGGGTTGGTTGCAAACCTCTATCCTTTTTAGCGTGCTACAAAATGAGATCAAGCCGATTCTGACATTCCTTATGAACGATGCTGACTTTGATGTGCGATACTTCGCCGAAGAAGCTAAAAATAGTCTAGGCTTGCATTAGACAACGATATAATTGAATCCCTGTGCTGTACTCGATCATCCTGTGTTGCTCGTGTTGTCATGATGTAAATGACCTTAACATATTCTCTGTCTCACGCTATCACGTCTGAATAAATATAAAGGATCAAATTTGATTGAGCGCAGTCAGAATGCGTAGAGTTACATGAAGATCAGTGTGAAACGTTCCTATGTTAAATGTTGTTTCTATGCTTCAGATCGCTAAAGCAGGTAGTTTCGCTATGTCAAAACTTGCATCTTTCAGCCATGATGAGAGGGTATCAAAAGATAATGCGCATACGCTTGAATTGATGTAAGTTTTCTGAAACTTTAGCTTCCCTTCTGAAAAGCTGACTTCAACTTCGACTCATATCAAGGGAAGGATGGTGAGTCAAAGTGGCCTTCTGCTATGATTTGCATACGTTGTTTGGGGGGGGGGGGGTAAAATGCTGACTCCGAATCTGTTCCCCTTATCTGCAGAGCTTTCCTGGAAGAAGAGTCATGAGCTTTTGAAGGAGCAAAAATTTAAATGTTTTTCTGGGATAAAAACAGTTGCAAAAATTTTCCCAGCTTGGATGAGACAGCCGGAACTGTTTTTATATTATTTGAACAATTGAATTTTTTCCAATAAACGCTCATAACTTCTCGTCCAGGAATGCTCCGCAGATAATGAAGACAGATTTGGAATCAGCGTTTTATGCTCTCCAACATGGTATACAAACCATCTCAAAAGGCCACTTCAACCAACCATATTTCCCTTGTAAGGTACAAAAGATACCGCGGATGCTCTTCATTACTACGATTATGGTAAAGGTGCAACGGGTTGAATGCAAATAAGCTATTATTTTAGAAAATTTCCGAATAATCAGTTGACATAATTTTTGAAAATTCAATTTAGCCCAGGGCCTGCCACCAGCTGGCACGGGGCAAGCTGGATATCGTTTTTGGGGCAAAAAGCAAAGGGGGTTTCGTTTTTGTGGGCGAAGACACGTCAAATTTGGCGACCTTTTTTTTAGTCGACGTTTCGTTTTTGGGAGGATTTCGCGGAATTTTTCACGTTTTTAGAGGGGATATTGTTGAGGGTCAAAGGGGACTTCGTAAAATTTTGGGAAAGTCAAAGGGGACTTCGTTTTGAAAATTTCCTGGTGCCAGCTCGTGCCGAGCCCTGATTTAGCCTTATAAAAATTTTTTCTCGAGGGCGTAGCTACTGCCAGCCTTTTTTTTCTGGAAATTTCGTGGTTATAAGCCCGCAAACACTTCAGGAGTACTAGAAATTTTTTCGAATTGCGTGGATGATGCCACGCACCTTCATCAGAAAAAAAATTTGTCCCCCCCCTCCCCCGAATGGATATCCTGGGTACGCTACTGGTGTTGTGATTCTCCTTCTTGGTATTTCTTCCTAGATTCCAGGAGCAAGATACTCACTTTCGTAACCACTGAGCAGGTAATACAGTGCTGGACAAAATTATAGGTCCACTCTAAAAATTGCTATAACTCACTCCGTTGTCAATAAAATGTTCCAAGATATGGTACAGCAGTGTGTTTACCAGCCTACTAACAGTCATCAAAACTGCTCTCGTTTTCCTTTGGTTATTCAAAAAAAAATTAAAATTTTTGAAAATAGCAGGCTTGAAGGCTGGTCAAAATTATAGGTCCACCTGGAGTTTTTACTAATTGAAGCACTTCTTGGCTCCCGAATTTCTTTAGGTAGATACACATCCAAAAACGTTAAACAGCTGCTCTAGTCAAGCTGTGTCATACCTCCAAAAAGAACTGATTATCTGCTTTTTTGCCTTGAAAATGCTTTCACATGTATTTCGCTCCACAAACCTGCGTTGAGTAAGAAATTTGCAGTTTCTCAGCTGGATAGGAAGGGACGGGGTTTTATCTACCTTCTGGATGCTTTTTACGTGAACATTGGGGAAAAAATCCGACTTTTTGCTGCTGAAGCAAATCCGACATCGACTCGATCGGGAGAGTAAGCCTCAGTTTCTGCCCCAACACCCTTTATGCATTGTCATAATAACCTCAAGATATTGTAGAAGCATTCTTTACACAAGAATAAAGCTGTTCGCCATACTCGCAAGTGTCCACAAAGCTGCCTGCTTCTTTTTTAAAACATGAGTTGTGTGTGCAACGTAATGATGGTGTTACGCAGATCCAAATAACTTGCCAGGTGCTACCTCACTTAGATTTTTGACAGTAATTATTTACTAGATAGTGGATACAGCTTGTAGTGCATGTTAGCACATGTTTCTTCTGAAAGTTTTGGTCGGAGCCATAAATAGCTTTGGTGCTTGTCGTAATCAGTTTCTGCAGGGTGATTTTGAGCTCAGAAATGCAGTATTGTCAAAATGTCGGATTTGCTTCCGCAGCAAAAGGTCGGATTTTTTCCCCAATGTTCACGTCAAAAAGCATCCAGAAGGTAGATAAAATCCATCCCAAATTTCTTACTCAACGCAGGTTTGTCGAGCGAAATACATGTGAAAGCATTATCAAGGCAAAAAAGCAGATAATCAGTTCTCTTTGGAGGTATGAAACAGCTTGACTAAAGCAGCTGTTTAACGTTTTTGGATGTGTACCTACCTAAAGAAATTCGGAAGCTAAGAAGTGCTTTAATCAGTGAAAACTCCAGGTGGACCTATAATTTTGTCCAGCCTTCAAGCTTGCTTTTTTCAAAATTTTCAATTTTTTCTTCAATAACAGAACGAAAACGAGACTCGTTTTGATGACTGTTAGTAGGCCAGTAAACACACGGCTGTACCAAATTTTGGAACATTTTATTGACAACAGAGTGAGTTATAGCAATTTTTAGAGTGGACCTATAATTTTGTCCAGCACTGTACAAATCCGAGATTCTACGTGTTAAAAGAATTCATAACTTTTTGCCGTCCATAACTTCCAAGTCTGCGGGAGAAAAATACCCACTAGATTCAAGTCACCAACCGGTGTGGATTTTGGTTTTTTAGCAAAACCGCATACGGTTACCATAAAGCAAGCCTAAGAACTTCTCTGCGTGAATATTTGGAAGGCTCTTGATTTAAAGGTGAGTTCCTCGGCTTCTCAAGTTTTGGTCTTCCATTCCAGACTCCAAATTTCCAATCCAAATAGATCCAACATTAGCACATTGACAACTATGCAAATTTTTGATTGTCTGCCTTTTGGAATCAGACCCACGGATTAGTCATTATTTTTAACGAAACCACGCATACTGTCATGTACAGTATACCTACAGTTCTGAGAAACTGACTAGCAGATAGAGTTTATTTCTTGACCCGGCCCAAAAAAACGGGTGATCGGTATCAAGCCCGCAGATTTCTAAATGTCACCTTCAATTGGTTAGATGTTCTTCTAAAACAGCAGTTGATTAAAGTGAACTTCATTGATTTAATACGGAAAAAGCATTATAAAGCAAAGGGTGTCGGAACGGATAAACATATAAAAAAAAGAGAATATACTTCGTTATTAGGATAGCTGCTTAGCGTTGGCTTATAGAGGCAATATCATTTCGTCTGTATGACCGTAGCCAAGCCACGCCGTCTTATATATGTGGGAAGCGCTACACGCTACACAAATAGATTCGTTGAACGCGGAAACAGTGTGTATAGGTGGATACAACAAAAAGGCAGCAGAGTGAAAAGGCTATATGGGAATACTCGGGATCGGTGAAACTAGACAGACGAGAGAGAAGGAGAAAATGTGTGGAGAAATTTCTGAGAAAAAAATTCTGGACGAGGGGCAGAAAAAAGCAGCATGCGCGATCAAGAACAACTACACGTAGCTTCTAGCCAGAGGGCAAGTGACAATAACAGCGATCAGTCGAGTCTTCTAAGGCAAAACAATCGCGTCATTATCACACATACAAAATTACACACAAACATACGAAAAGCTTCTTTGTAGTCGTTCGAATCACGAAAGGCAAATGTGCATGAAGAAAAAAAAACTGTGTAGAATTTGTATAGTGAGAAAAAATATAACACGGGGGATATATGTGTGGGTGGGGAGTCGCTAAGTCGCGAGTGAAGGAATGGATGAATGCAACGTATAGGGCTATCAAAAAGCCTCAAAATCGTATCATATTATGTGAACGCAGCCGTATTCGGGTAGTGAAGTTGGGGCCCCATGAAATGGGAGCCGTTTTGCGCCTGTTGTTCAGGCCGTAGACTCTTGACGTACTTCTATCTTCTCTACAGTCATGTCGGGATTCATTTGAGTCGCTTCCATGATTGCGTGAGTTAACTCCTGGAAATTTCATCGTAATCGGGATTTATATTACAAAAAAAAAGAAGCTAAAGCATAGTAAATTAGACGATTAAAAGGTCAATATAGTGTATTTGCGCTGGCGACGACATTTGCGCGTAAACAATAGCAACTTGCGCGCCATGGCCATCCTTTGGCGCAATACACAAGCAAGTTGCCAGCATGGCCGCAACTTGCCTGCGACTCGCAACTTCAGCCATAGGCTTCTTTACGCGCAAATGTTGTCAACACCGTAATGGCACCATATAAATCATCAAATCTATTAAATTAAGAACCTACCGCATCATGGTCGATGGGCTCATCGGAATGGATAGTGACGCGATGTTCGACGTGGGTCTCGATGATACCATCACGCTCAGTTTTATAGGTGTAGGTTTCAACAGTTCGGTTACCAGACGTGAGAGTTTTGCAAGACACAAATTCGCCAAGGCCCTAGAGAATACCATTTACGACAAAAAAAAACAAAAATCAAAAGAACAGGGAAAAAACGAAAAACAGAAAAAGAGAAGAAACCAACCTCATTGTGTTCTGTCTCATGATGAGGATCAGCCTCATAAGCAACAGTTCGTGAATGAGTTTCTACAACATGAGGGGAGCCAGCGGAGCCATTCGTACCATTAGTGGTAGCAGCTACGGTAGTGCCAAGTGGGGTCGTCTCCTCACGAACACGTTCCACGCTCACGACACCCTAAAATTTTACACTTTACAGCACGGTGATAATAAAGCAGATAAACAGAACCACGTACAGGTTGCCCATCCGTGGGAACTACATAATTCTGGAAGGTCTGTTTCTGTACTGTATGCTTCACTTGCGAAGTTTTTAGGGTTCGCCTGAAGAAATAAAATTTTTATTTGAGAGCTGAATCGAGGCAGAATCTGTACACCTGAGTTGCTTATGTGAAAACTGTTTGTGAAGCCTTAAGCAATCCACTGCTCAAGCAACAACACATATGATTCATTCGCGATCGAGAAATCAAACTCCAAACTTGAGTCCAGACCGTACTCTTTACCGTATACTCAACGTCGCTGATTGGTCAGCTCGGAAAGCGTACGGTATGAGCTGGAGCAGAACTGAATTTCTCGGCCAGGAATGGATGAATGAGCTGCAGTTCGGCCAGTGGCTTATTCAATGTCCTCCAGTCAGTTCTCGTATAGGAAGTTAGGACACTCAAAGTTGCGTAGAAAACCTTAGCAACGTAAATTTCTCTCAAAACTCACGTAATCTTATTTCCCTTCTCATCATACTCGGTTGTAACTTCGTCTGGGAGACGGTTTGATTCTTGCCAGGTTGAGATTGTCGTATGCGGCTGCCCGCTCTCCTATAGAACCACATTCACATCACAGCCAGAACTTACAGGACACAATAATGAGACAATAAGCTGTCAATTTTTGTCTATGTTATCCAACGATGAGTGAACTCGTTTTGCTAAAAGCGCAACATAATTAGCAGTCTTCAAACACCTTAGCTTAGCAATCTACTGTGATATCTGCGTACTAGGTGTGAATTTACTGAACATGTCGCTACAGAGCAAGTACCACAACATTCGCGAAACAGGAGCAATGGGGATTTTTTAGTAGGGGGAGCGATTCAAAGGGACCGCATACAACAGTAATGGGAAAGCCACAACGAGTCAAAAAAAAACTTTTGAAATCAAAATTTTTGATGACCAGCGATTATCACATCATTGCTTAGCTTTCAGATCCACGATAAGTTCGTGAACAAGTGGTAAACTCAGATTTTCTATTACTAGTTAGAAGGAACCAAATAAACTGGTTCTAACTGAACATATGAAGGCCTTATCAAGGGATCGCAAACTTTGCAACCAGCAAAAATCTTGAAATGAAAAATATTAATCTAGCATCGCATCAAATAGCAGTGACATAATCGCCTTTTTACAGTAAAAAGAGACCGTTAGCAGATTCCGTGGATACGGTAGGCATATGGTAGATAGACTTAGAGAAAGATTCTTAGAATATCTTCATTGCTACAGGAGAAAATTGATTAAAAAAACTATCACTGCCTGATCCTTATACTTTCATTAATTCAGGAGAATTCAATGGTATAGAACTGTCACCTATGCCTACCGTATAACGTACAAAGGCCTACGGTAAGTAGACGGTAAGAGGTTTTGTGATAACTCCCGCTTCGTTCCCCATTCCTTCAGATTACAGAATTATTTAGAACCGAACCTTTTGTATGCCTCCGGTAATGCTATAACTAGTACTTCCGAGACGGAACCAGATGACCGGAACGCATATTTCAGCAGATTTTTTATTCTGTTGCGAAAACTCCAATGGCATATGAGGTAGGTAGAAAAAAAAACCCCAAGCAATCCCAAAAAATGAACCTGCGGTTCCAAACCAAATATAAAGCTTTCCTTGTACAGCAAAATAGCCACCATTAAGTAGCATATCTTGGAGCTGTCTTGAGCAACGCAACCCATTTCAAAGCACTACATCGAGTAACAAAACGCCACAGAACAAAGCTTTAGCACCAGCGATTCTTTTAGCTAGTAAGTTTAGCTAAAATTCACAAAAGCAGCAAACTAGCGTTTTAGCCGCGTTATTCACGCATGTTAAGCTACAAAAGCAGCCAGCTTCTCTAGTAGCAGAGCGGTGGCAGCAGCAGCAAGCGTCGCCACTGTACCTCGTAAGAGAGCGGCAGAGGTGCCATTGCGCGCACAGTGACAGTGCGCTCCGCATGCTCCAGCCGCGGACTGCGCTGATTCAGACGTTCAGCTTCGGCCATCGTTGACGCCAGCGACTATAAACCATGCTATGATTCAAGTTTTTGTACCTTAGAAATCGCAGGACTTTACCCAACCAATAGCTCGTGCTTGTTCTAGCTGTAGAAATGGGAAGGAAAACGGATACCGACCTTTGGCGCTGTCTCCGCGAGCCAATTCACACAGGCTATCTCAATTGCAGTGTCATGCGCAAGCATCACAAGCCGCGCGCGGCCGCCCCGTTTGGGCTTACACGCGTTCGCGAACGTGTCCTCTGACCATTTTCTCATGCCTAATCAACGACTGAAGCTCGATTTTGAAGTTCCAGCGCTCAGGCATGGGAAAACAATCAGGCGACCCGTTGCGAACGCGGCGGACGGTCCAGGGGGCGACCGCGCGGGGCGCGAGCTGCTAGTGCACCGGATACTGCAACTGAGATGGCCTGTACAAATTTAGCACAGCTCACGCATACTGCACAAAGCACCACAAATTTCACGTTTAATGCATTTGCCTGGAGCATGAGATTTGTGACGCCTTGTGCCGTGGTGAAGCCGTGTGCCATGCGGGATTTGTACGAGTTTGCTCGCGAAGAGCCAGAGCCAGTTGGCGGTACTCGTTCTTTACCCAAAAAAAACTTCGATGCAGCATAACCTCCCCGCATAATGCGAAGCTAGTGCATCTGATAAGGAAATCATAGAAACAAGCTCGGAACTCGCGGACAACTGGCACATACTCTACGTTCAGTTAAACAAATTGTGCCAAATGTCCGAAGGGCAGAGCTTTGGCGATGCATTCTCCCACAAAAGGTTGTAGCTAAATTATTTATGGCCTAAAGTCAAAAATTTGGAGGCAATATTTTCTGAAACTTGTTCTACATTACTCTACGTAAAATATGCTTGCATTTACCAAAGCAGGATGCTTCGCTTGCCAAAATCATGCAATGTTATTATGTGTCAGTATAAATGCTGCTAGTGCTTCTACAAAATAAAGAACATTGCGAACCGGATTCTGTGGATCGAATCCAGGCGAAACGCCTTCTCCTTTCAGATGATATTTGAGCTCGTTCGTTTCTCGGCGTACGACTTTTCCATCTTTATCTTCCGGATCCTTGTACAGCGGCAATGTCACATCACCACTCTTGAAAAGTGCTGTTAGATGATGAGAAAAGGATGTTGTTAGGCAAAGAATTGTGCACTGTCGGAGCGAGAAAAAAAAATTTCATACCAGATTAGCCCCTCATGCGATCAAGAACTTGCCCATGTTAGAAATTGTAGAAACCCCAGAAACTGAGAAAGTGCGAGACTAAGACACAGATAATGGTAGTAACTGATGATTATGGATTCCGTTGGATCGATCCAAGGGATCTGCCATGATTTCAAAAAAAAAAAAAACAAACAAACAAGATGCTTGATTTCACCCAGTCAAAACTATTTAGAAGAATTCCCAAAGCCAAAAAAAGACAAACGCTAGCTTTAGACTCTATAAGAGCATCAAGTTCATTCTAGGAACAAAACCCGAAACCACGCAATATTTTGGTAATCCCACTTAAAAAGTATATCTTGAGATAAGTGGATTGAGAAAAAGCGCCAGGAAAACGGTACAGCCCCCGCTTCACCTTACTCTTTGTACCTATTCAATATATCTTTTCTAGAAATTTCTCATCGGATCATCAGAGAGAAAAGACGATCTCGCCAATAGTCAGCACTCAATGTCTCTAGTGCCTTGTCAACACGGTACGTCAATCATGACTTTGCAAAGAGTCAAGTGTGCCAAGCGCTGAGTAAATATTACTTGGTTTAGAACAGATAAGTGTGACCAAGGAAACGCATGGAAAATATAAAACTCAGATTCAAAACAAAGAAAAAAGAACAGGAAGAAAAAATTAAAACCCAACCTCAACGGGCATAATGTGAACTTGATTTTTCTCATCTTCTGATTCGCTGGATGAATCGCTCGAATCTGCCTCTCGTACCCCTTTGTCGGTTTTCTTTTGTTTCTTCGATTTCTTTGACGAACTCTACAAGAGAAACAGATGAGAAGAGGACGTAAAAGTGAAACACAGACACAGATGACAGCAATGACAAACGGCTTGTTCCAAACTCTATCGAGAAATGTGCTAAAGAGTCTGGATACAGGAAAATTGGTAAGTCCATGAGGTATTTGCACAAAAAACATATAGAAAGTGAACAAAGCCGCTCGACATCCCATCGGAAGCACTGACACTATCGCCCGTTTATCAATTAGGGTCATGTGCCAGAGAGAAGAGGAAATCACAGCACATTTGTTACTAGCAACATAGGTCTAGATGAAGCTTGCCTTCACGCTAACCAAAAACCAAAGAAAAAAACGTTCTACTACCGTACTACATCAAAGTGTGAGAGATGCTAGCCATTCAATAGATGAGGTAGACGAGACGACACAGAACACAAAACTATTGAAAACTGAATATGCGTACAAGAAGCAAGCAGCTAACGCGATTAATTGAAATAAAAAAGAAACACAGCATTTTAAACGTGCGAATGACCCTAATTGTGGGCGTAATTTGAAATAGCGGACCTTGAAAATTCGACTGAAGAATGAGCGTTCAGACGATGGCATCGGTGGAGGTGTAACAGAGAAGACGAAACCGTCTTCATTCTCAGCGAGTTCGCTCAATCCCGCCCCTGTCAAGCAAAACGCCGGCTCGAGTTGTATTTCTGCGCGTCGATCAACATGTACTTCCACATACTCATCACCGCTTTGCGTTGTTCCTTGAGATCGTCCTCGAGTACTACTTGACGAAGCTATTAAATGCCCACTGCCAGAAGGCGAGGCAGTGGCACCTTCCGCTGGTCGTTCTCTGCTGCTTGGCGAGTCGGATCCGAAACGATATGACTCGGTTGCTACAGCACGAGGACGATCAGAGGATGTACCCATAGTAGATGACTGGTCTCCCCTGCTTTCTGCGTAGGAGCCGGAAGCTCCAGGCTCACGGTAGTCATAAATGTGACCACCCACAGGTCGTCTTCCGCTATCCGGATATGGTGCCAGACGATAGTCATTGGTAGCACTATCACGATCATAGATGGTCGTATCCAAAACAGCTGGCTCATCTTTCCCGCACATCGAATAAGAACCCGACCTTGCTCGTCTGCCATAATCAGGAGTTTCAGCAGCAGCAGCATTGGGATCATACAAGGTATCCCTGATAGCTGGCTCATCTTTGCCGCACACCGAATAAGAACCCGTTCTGGGTCGTGTATAACCAGAAGTTTCAGCAGTAGCACCATCACGATCATACAGGGTATCCCTTATTGCTGGCTCATCTTTGCCGCAAACCGAATAAGAACCCGCTCTAGGTCGTCTAACATAACCAGAAGTTTCAGCACCTTCTGGATGTTGATCTTTGTCGTCAGGACGGTATGAATATGCTGGTGGAGGATCACCAGGGGGCAGGCCCATTCCAGCCGGCGCATCTCTCCCGCGTTCCGAGTAAGAATCCGTGGGTTGGGACGGCCTCGATGTTTCAAGAACTAAGTTGGGTTCTCTCCCAGGTGATCTCCTAGAGTTCGATTGATATGACTCTACAATGTTGGAGCCGCTATTTGTTGTGATAGTTCTCTTCCAGAAAGTTGCAGTAACAGCTGTATGTCGTGTCGGATATTCACTTTCTCGTGTCACATCCCCTACCATACTTCGGTAAGGAGAAGTGCGCTCCCTTTCAACAGAACTGGTAGTATACTCCCTCTGAGTACGATCAGGACTTCGATAAGCAGTACCGCGCTCTCTGTCAGTAGCAGCACTGGTACCGTAATCCCTTGGAAGAGGTTCCGGTCTACCGTGAGCAGTAGTGTGCTCCCTTCCACTAACAAGACTGCCAGTATACTCTCTTCGGGGAGGATCAGGCAATCGAGGACCAGTACTGCGCTCTCCAGTAGTATGACCAGTATCGAATCCTTTTTCAGCAGGGTCACGTCCGCCTATCAAACTTCGATAGATGGGACTGCTTTCCTTCTGAGACCTATCACCGGAGTCTCTTTCAGCAGAACTACGTTCTCCTGATCCCATTCGTGTGATACCAGAAATTCGCGTTGTTCCATGATCCTTAGAGCGGGCAATCAATCGAGCAATGCGAGCTTCTTCCGCATCGGTCATAAGACTAGGTGGTCGCTTTTCAGGTGGAGAAGATTTCAGGTGGAGCTCTTGTTCCTGAGGCTGAGGTACGGCTGTTCTTGTTGGATGCGTATCAACCTCGCTCAGACCAGCTGGTCGTAAATCTAAGTGACCGGCAGATTCTTGATCATCATCACCTTCATGTTTGACTCGAGCAATCAGTCGGATCTTTCGCTCTTCCTCCGTCTCTCTTTCTGGAGATGCATCCAGATGAAGTACTCCCCTAGTTGGACCGGGATGTTCGTGGCCACTAAGTATCTTACCACCTCTAGAATCGTTCCATGACTGTCCAGGGTGGTAGGCATGAGCATGTTCTTGCAATGGAGTGTGATCCAGCTCAGACTGTCGAGAAGTCTCATCAAGGGGGCCGTCATAAGGAACAGCAGATCTCCCATATGTTTCAGAACGTACTTTGTCCTTATCAATCGTCTCTTCGTCACCTTCATGACGCCACCTACCAAACAGCTGAGGAGGTCGAGAAGTTGTGCGAGTTTTATCAGGAGATGGTGTCTTCGCGGCTTGTCCCGGTTGCTCAGCTTCTTGTTTTCTAAGCGATTTAGGTTTATAAGGCACAGGGGGTGGGGCTTTAAAAGGAAGCTTCTCGATGTCCTTTTCTCGATCTATTTCATCTAGCGGACCAGTAAACTTCGTACTAGATGGGTGATACTCCTCGGCTGTTTCTTCGGGCTTCTTACTTTTCGACTTCCAGAAACCAAACAAGCCGCCAGATTCTTGCTCCTTCTTTGGCTTTCTTGCCTCCTCAATCTTGCCTCGTTCCGCATCGTCCTCGTCGTTGGTATGACGAACCAATGCAATGAGTCTTACTTTCCGTTCATCATCCGTTTCTTCAAGTGGAGGAGCTGAAGGCTCTGCTTTTCCAGTGGTCTTCAAATGAAGTACGGCTTTTCTCTCAGTGTCTGGACTCTTCTCGTAGTCTTTAACTTGTGGAACAGTTCCACTGGTCTCACTCACGCCCTTCTCTTGTTGTTCTCTAGAGGGCTTAGCAGGGACTTTTGCACCTTTGTCATCCCAAGATTGACCACTGTGGTAAGCCTGCGAAAAGTCTCGCAATGGAGTTGGCTCTAATTCAGCACCACGAGTAGTCGAATCAAGAGGTCCTTCGTAGGTTGTAGTTGAGGTATGGTAAGACTCTGGTCTAACTTTACCCTTCTCAACAACGTCCTCTTCGCCCTCATGACGCGACCTGCCAAACAGACTGGGCAGCCAAGAGCTAGTCTCCTTTGACTTCGCCGCAGCTTGTTGCTGTCTAATTTCTTCTTCTTTCAATGGTCTAGGTGGTCTCGATACGTCCTTCTCCTTCTTTGGCTTTTTCACATCCAAATCTTCTGGCTCGCCAGGTCGGACAAGAGCTATCAATCGCACTTTACGCACGTCTTCATCGTACTCTGGCGTTTTCTCTTTCGAAGATTTCTTCTTAGCAATGGATTCCTTTCCATAAGCAATTCCAGAAGATTCTTTCATAGGAGTTTTCGTTTCTTTCGTGACATTCCAGGATTGGCCGCTGTGGTAGGCCTGAGCGTGCTCTCCCAACGGTGTCGGTTCCAATTCAGATTGTCGAGTTGTGGAATCAAGAGGTCCTTCATAGTGACCTGATGGCAAGTTATAGGTGTCAATTCGTACTTTATCCTTATCAACCGTCTCTTCTTCACCCTCATGACGCCATCTGCCGAACAGCTGAGGATGACGATGTGTAGACTCGGCATCATGGCTTGTCGGTTCATATGCATGTTCTGCTCGTTCACCTTTCAGCTTAGGTTTATACGGTACAGGTGGTGGCGCTTTGAACGGAAGCTTATCTATGTCCTTCTGGGGATTGATCTTATCAACAGGACCTTCGTATTTCTCAACGGTTTCACGAGGTTCGGATTCCGTTTTTTCACGTTGTTTTGCCTCTTTCTTCTTCCAAAAACTGAACACACTGGAGGAACCGCGTTCTTGACTAGATTTATCATAATCTGCATCCTCTTCAGATCTGCTGTGTGGGACGCGCGCTATTAATCTGATTTTTCTAGTCTCCTCTTCGCTTGTCGTTCGAGTTTGTTCTTCTTCCTTAGGCGCCTTGAGATGGATGACAGCCTTCTCTTTGGCCTTGCGATCAGTCTCACCCATTTCATCAACCCGTTCTTTCACACTGGTTACAATAGGTGCTTTCTTTCCCTTGTCATCCCAAGACTGACCAGGATGGTAAACTGAGGCATGCTCCCCTAATGGTACCTTTTCCAGATCAGATTCAGGGGTGATTGAAGCGAGAGGTCCGCTATAAGCGCCAGTGGTTGTGCCATAACTTTCCGGAAGTACTCGTCCCTTTTCGACTGTTTCTTCTTCACCTTCATGACGCCATCTACCGAAGAGATGTCCACGTTTTGGAGATGTCTCAGTTGTAGTGTCAGAAGTCTTCTCTGTTCGCTCTTTATGTAGCTCGCTTTCTCGATATTTTGAAGGACTAGATTTACCATGCTCTTTTTTTCGTTCGGCTACGTCTCGATCTTCATCAGAAGTCTTTCGCACTAGTGCTATCAGGCGAACTTTTCGTTCTTCTTCTTCATCTGGCAATGGTGAAGTTCTTTCTTTGACTGGCGACTTTTTCAGATGAAGAAAGGCTTTTTTACCAGTACCTTCTTCGCGCTCAATGGGTTGAGTGGCAGGACTTTTCGTGCCCTTGCTGACATCCCATGACTGCCCATGATGATATGCTTGGGCATAGTCTCGTAATGGAGCTGGTTCTAGTTCAGAAATGCGAGTAGTGGATTCAAGAGGGCCTTGGTATGAAGTAGAAGGAAGACCGTACTTGTCCCTATTCACTCGCTCTTTCTCGACAGTCTCTTCTTCACCCTCATGACGCCA